ATATCGCTCTATTTTGTGATTTCTTATTTCCTAAAAAATAAAAGAATTTTTTTCCTGAAATATATGCTTGAAAAGAATGGAAATTTTATAATTAATTAAAATTAAAACAATGAAATAATATTTGCAATAATTTAATTCAACAAATTTCGAAATATAAATTTTAAATAAATTAGAAATATTGCAAAATATTTATATTTATGCTTACTTTAATAATAAATTTATATTAAATTGTTATTTTAGTGAAAAGCAAAGATTATATATTTCATTTAATTTAATAATTAAATCGATTAATTCATTTAATTTAATAATTAAACTAAAAACAATATCTACCAATTGTTTTGGGAGAGAAAATGAAGTAAGAATAAAGGAAGAAGAAAAATGAAAAATGATATTTCAAAAAATTATATTAAGCTATCATTCTTGCTATACGTTAAAAGTAAAGTTAAAAAATTGTCAGATTAAATAAACAAATATATATATTTCAAGAAGGTAAAAATATTATATGTATTAATATATCCCTTTCTCTCTCTCTCCCTCTTTCCCTCTCTCTCTTTCTCTCTCTCTCCCTCTTTCCCTCTCTCTCTTTCTCTCTCTCTCTCCCTCTTTCCCTCTCTCTCTTTCTCTCTTAAGCTTATAAAATAGATAATAATAAATAGAATGTATCAGATTGGATTGGATCACATTCGGATCGGTGTGGAAGAAAGAAAATTGATAACAAAGAGCAATGAAGCAATATGATCGGGTAACGAAAAGAACCAAATGACTGTTATCTATTGCCTGTAATAAATATTTCTAGTTTTTTAAAGGAAGAAAAAGAAAACAAGTTTGAAAAGAAAGATGAAGAAAAGAAGAGGAAGGATAAGAATATATTATATATTTTGGAGGCGTATATTGATAGCATTAATGAATAATAATAGTAGTAACAATAAGAATAACAACAACAATAACAATAACAATAAATAACTATAACAACAATAGTAATAACAACAACGACAACGACAAACAGCAACAATAATAATAATGATAATGATGACAAACAACAGCAAAAAAAAAAACGGTAAGAATAATAACAACAATAATAACAATGACAATGATAACAGCAACAGCAATAATAACAATAACAACAAATAATAATAACAATGACAATGATAACAGCAACAGCAACAGCAATAATAACAATAACAACAACAATAATAATAGAACAATAGCAATAACAATAATAGCGATAATGATAACGAACAGCAGCAACAACAACAGCAATAATAATAACAACAATAATAACAACAATAACAATGACAATGATAACAGCAATAACAATGGATAATGAAAACAGCAACAACAACAACAACAGCAACAATAATGATAACAACAATAGCAACAACAATAATAACAATAAAAGCAATAACAATAATAATTATAATAATAATGGAACAATAATAGTAATAACAACAATAGCAACAATAATAATAGCAACAGCAATGATAACACTAACAACAATAACAATAATAATAGTAAAATCAATTTGTAAAATGTGGAAGAAAAATACGAAAGTAAATGAATGAAGTGATGATATTGAGATTGGAAGGAAAATTATGAAGGAAGCCATTATTTCATTTGAAATATGCCTTCATAGCAGAAGGAAAAATTTTTTGCCCATTGTAATAAAGAGAAGAAAGTTTAACAACGAATATATATATATATACATAGAGTGGTGTATCAGTGATGAAATAACAATAATGAAAGGTAAAACGTTAATTGTTCGAAAAATATTTCTTTTGTTTTTATTTTTCACAATTTTTTGTTTTGTTTTTTTACAAACTCTACGAAATGTTTGCGGCGAAAATAAATTACTTTCAATTTCAATTAGTTTTACAAAATAAATGCAAAATGAATTTGCAATTCGTTTTCGTTCTTTTTAAATGCAGAAAACAAAAGAATATTTTATTTTTGAATGAATTTTGAAAAACTGAAAAACATTAATATTAATCAATAATTATATCAATATTAATTGTACCAGTATTAATTGTATATTAATCAATATTAATTGTAAAACGAATAATAAACTTACTTTTACGATATTCTTCAGATCGCTAAATTCACTTTTATCCAAATCATCAATATCATGCTCAATGCTATCACTACGATTAATTTGATTTCGTTCACGTTGATATGCTGTCTGCAAAATATTTTCAATTATATAAAATTATCAAAATATTAATCATTAAAATAAAATACAATACTTTCTTCTTAATTACAATTATTATTTAATAATTTTTTTAAAAAAAAAAAAAGAATTATTCGATAATTAAAAAAAGAAAAATGATAAATGAAATTTTACAATGATAATTTACGATAAGATAATATTGCTCATAAAAGTGATAAAGATAATGAAATTTTACTTCATGGAAAAGTACCCTATTACGATATTGTCGTGGATATGGACTCAGTAATTTAAAAGAATGAATTAATCGATAATTAAAAAGGAAAAAAGAATAAACGAAATTTTACAATGATAACTTATGATAAGATAATATCATTTTAAAAGTGATAAAGATAATAAAAATTTTACTTCATGTAAAGGTACCCTATTACGATACCGTCGTAGATATCGATTCCATAATTTAAAAGAAAGAATTAATTGACATTTAAAAAGAAAAAAAAGGATAAACGAAATTTTACAATGATTATTTATGATAAGATAATATCACTTTAAAAGTGATAAAGATAATACAAAATTTTACTTCATGAAAAGGTGGTGCCCTATTACGATATCGTCGTGGATATGGACTTGATGATGGACTACGTGAAAGTGGTCGTACTGGTGGTGTTGGTGGCTTATGTCTTACAATATCAGAAGGCCTGAAATTATTTTTATAAAATAAACATTTCGTATCATTTAGTTTAAAAAAATCTTAAATTGTAGGAAATAAATTGAATTATAATTTTTAAAAAAATTTAAATTAACAAAAATAAAGCAAAGAAAAAGTTTAAAATAAATATATGATAAGAAAAATTTACTTTGGTGGTAAACCTGATGAATTAATACTAAAATCAGCGTTATTTCGAATTGAATGAATCGATTCATCGGTTAATCGATGATTATCACCACCATTATTATCATGATATGGTGTACGAATATTCTTTAAACGTTCCTCTTCAACACGATATTCCACCAATGGATCAACCGATTGTCCGTAACTTTCTAAGCTATACGTACGTTCATCATTTTCACGTCTTATTTGCCTATCATCATTTACATGTTTCAATTCCTGTAGAATAAGAATTAATTTAAAATGTTTCTTTTTTCTTTTGTTTTAATTTGAATAATTTTTTCTCACAAAAAGTTTTGCAAACTTATTTAATTATACACCTTAAAAGAAAAAGAAAGCTATTTTCCGTAAAAGAAATTGTTGAAATAATTTTATTCGAAAAATTCATTTTTATTAATTAGGAAAATTTTTTAATTAGTAATTAGTTAATTATTAATTATATACTTGATTTAAAAGAATATTATTGATAATATTCTGAATGATTTAATTGGTGCCTTTTTTCTTTTAATAATTATATTGCTATTTTTGCTTCTTATTTTTTCTTAATCAGATAAGTTATAAACGGATCGGATAACCGTTTTACTTTTTAATTCAATCCGTTTCAATGATTAAATGAATTATCGGCTTTTCAAAAATGATAAATTCGACGGAATTTTCGCCGGAATATAAATTCGAAGGAAATTTCGCGCCGGAATATAAATTCGAAGAAATTTTCGCCGGAAATATTCACCTCGAGAAGTAATTTTTCTTGTCGTCTTCGTCGTAGCATTTCCGGATTATTCTCACGTTTTGCTTTCAATTTTTTCAATTGAAATTTCAACCAATCATCGGCATTCTCAGCATCTGTCAATGAATCATAACGATTGTGAGCAAATAATAATCGATTCCCGTAAGATTCACTGTAAAGAAAAATAGATGTATGAATTTACATTAATAAATTTTATAATTAAATTTATTTAAATTTAAATTAAAATAAATTATGTAAAATTAATTGGCTTCCTTTTGTTACATAATAGTAAATTATAAAATAAATGAAATTAATTGATTAAAATAAATAAGATTAATTGAATTCGTTTTTTAATTAATTAATTAATTAAAACAAATAAGATTAATTGAATTCGTTTTTTACATGATTAATAAATTATAAAATAAATGAAATTAATTAACTAAAGCAAAATAAGATTGATTGAATTCATTTTTACATTATAGTAAATTATAAAACAAAATAAAATTAATTAATTAAAACAAATAAGATTAATTGATTTCGTTTTTTACATAATAGCAAATTATAAAATAAATTAAATTAATTGATTAATATAAATAAATTTATTGATTTCTTTTTTTAAATTAATTGATTTCATTAAAATCAAATGAAATTAATTAATTAAAATAAATGAACTTAATTAATTTCGTTTTTTACATAACAGTAAATTATAAAATGAATAAATATAATTGATTTCCTTTTTTTTTTTAAATTAATTGATTTCTTTAAAATTAATTGAAATTAATTGGCTAAAATAATGAAAATTAATTGACTTTGCTTTTCATAATAATAAATTATATTGTTAAAAAAGAATTTAATAAATTTTTTGTGAAATTTTAATCATTTATTTTTGCTAGAAAGAAAAATGTATTTCATTATTGGAGGAGAATTTTTATTTACCGATAAGACGAAGCGGAAGTAGCCGAACGACAATTACGCATTCGGAATGCTTCCGGATCCTGATTAACATTACCAACTGAACCTGTTGTTGGCTTTGATGATGAAAGATATGAGTCATCAAAAGTTGATTGATTTCTAAAAAAATTTCTTCTTGCATTTATAAAAGTTTAAAATTTTCATTACGCATAAAGCATAAATGCAAATATTATAAATTAAGCTAAAAATTTTTCCAAATAACTTTTGAATCTGAATTTAAATTTAAAATGAAATGTGTATGACAAATCGAATTTGAATTTAAAATGAAGTATGTACTGAAATTGAATTTAAAATAAAATGTATATGAGAAACTGAATTTGAATTTGAAATGAAGTATGTACTGAAATTGAATTTAAAATGAAATGTGTGTGACAAATCGAATTTGAATTTGAAATGAAGTATGTACTGAAATTGAATTTAAAATGAAATGTGTATGACAAATCGAATTTGAATTTAAAATGAAGTATGTACTGAAATTGAATTTAAAATAAAATGTATATGAGAAACTGAATTTGAGTTTGAAATGAAGTATGTATGACAAACTGAACTTAAATTTAAAATGAAATTTGCAGAAAAATAAGAGTAATTTTTGAAATAAGAAAAAAAGGAATTTTTAATTCCTCATTTTTACAAAAATATTTTACAAAATGAAAATGTTATTTAAAAATTCAGCTTATAGTAAATTTTCAAATTGCATTTGGAATTCAAATTAATTTGTATTCGAAATTAAAATTAATAATTTACAAAAAATAAAATAATGCGATAGAAAGAGAAAATGAAGAAAAAAAGATCGCAAAAATATTGTAATTAATAAATTACAAATCATTAAAAATTTATTTATATTTCAATTACTTATTTTATTTACTGTTTACTTTAATTTATTCAATAATGATAAGCTCTTCTTTGTAAGCTTTTTACTTCAGCATTCGTTTTATCGGTAAAAGATTTCCTTTGTTTTTGGTAATTAAATTTATCTTCTTTTTCTGCAGCAATTTGCAAAATTTTTAATTGTTTTTGTTTTTTTCTTTGTTACATTCATGAGGTTATAAAAAAATTAATTCAAGATAATTAATTATTAAAACTAAATAATAATATTTAAATATCGATAATTAATTATTCAACCAAAATATGCATTATTCAAAGTTAAACTTAATTATTTATTTATGGCATTTATCGGATTCAAAAAAATTATTTGTTGAAATAATTAGTTCAGTTTTATTCTGCACAATGCTAATTATTTGTTACTATTAGCATAGTTTAATAATGATTGCATAATACCTCTACAATTTCGAAATTTTTTAATTGACCAATTTCAAATTTCAATGCAAAAAAATTGTAGTAGTTGACAGCTTGGAGTGAAAAAAATAATGATATAACGATCGATGTAAAACATTAATTTTCATAAGTTATTTTGTATATTTGAGCTAATTGATAATTATGAAAATTAAAAATTAATATTACTATATGCTAATTATTTGGCACTATTAGCATAGTTTAATAATAAATGCATGCTACCTTTACAAACTATAATATTAATCGTTTGAAGTTTTTTTAATTGACTAATTTCAAATTTCAATGCAACAAAAGAAATCGCAGTAGCTGGCAGCAATTTTTTATGAACAAAAATTATCCATCACTTTGTATTTCTGCTTTAGCTATTTGATAAATTATGCAAAATTAAAAAATATTATTGAAATTAGCATAATTTGATATTTCAAAAATATATTTGCTTATTTAGTCTTAATTAGATTAATTCGTTAAAATAACATTGCCAGATGGATACCTTAGTAATAAATACTTATAAAGATTAGATTAGATTCAGTAGAAGTTAATTTTTGAATATTTTAATATTTTCCTTTCACATATTAATTCTTTTTTAATTTCTGATATATATTCTCTTTTCACTAATTCCTATAATTTCTGATATTCATATTTCAATCATTGATTGATTAATTTGATTTATTTAAAATTTTTGCCGGTTAAATCTTTGATTATTTAATTATTTTAAATCTAAAATTTCCAATTAAATATAATTATTTGATTAATTATCGAATTAAATATTAAAAACATTTTAAATATAAAACACAGATATAAAATAAAAAATAAAAAATTTAAATATAAATATTTTCCACCCAGGTATTTCTCTAATTTAATAAAATAAAATTAAATTTTATTGTAAGAGAAAAAAAAAAAAGATCCAGGTAAAACTTACTGATAGAATGGTTTTTTCCCCGGTATTTTGATATTTCTCAAATTTGATTCGTTTAATTTTGATGTTGCTTCTGCTACCGTTTTTCCTGCTGTTGTTGGTGTTGTTGCTGTTGCTGCTATCGTTGAATTATTTACAAAATTAGGCTCATTTTTACTCGTCCTATTTAGATCACCGTTTATTTTACCTGATTCGTTTGTATTATTTGTAATTGGCATTGTTGCTTGTGATGTATATGCAAGATAAAAATCCGGATCGCAAAAATCATCCAAATCACTGCTAAATTAAAAATTTGATAAATTAAATTTATCTAAATTATAAATTTATAAATTAAAATAAATATAATTTAAATTTTTCGAATGAAAAAAAAATTATAAATATTTCTTAAGTAATTGTTGAAAAAAAGAATTTAATTAGAATTCTGAAAATGAAATAATTAATTAATGAATGAAGAAATATACCTGTATGCGTCATTATTTAATGTTTTATATGAACCATATTTTGTTTTTCGTCGTTTTGATACATGTTTTGCTTGTTCTATAATCTATAAATAAGAAATAAATAAATAATTAAATTTGAATTGAATTTAATTTATTCATTTCTAATCTTAAATACATTTTAAGCATATTTTTTGCTATGTAGATATTATACTCTATAATCTATAAATAAGAAAAAAATTGGTAATTAAATTTGAATTTAATTTAATTTAATAATTTATAATCTTAAATAAATTTTAAGCATATTTTTGCTACACATATATCAATGTAATATGAAAAATTATAAATAAGATATATGCAAATTAAGCAATTTCAGTTGATAATTTATATCATTGTAATATGAAAAATTATAATTCAGATATATGCAAATTAAGTTATTATAGTTTATAATTAGATTTTACAAAAATTTTCAATTTTTCAAATTACATTTATTCAATCATTTAAATATAGTAAATTATGATAATTTATAACTGATAATTATTTATATTTAAAACAAAATATTGTGTAAAATACGGAGAGAAAAGACATACAACAGGTTTCTCTTCATCATTTATCGGACGATCCGTTTTTGATGATTCGATTTTTGGAGTTGAATTTGCAATTGGACCATTACCGGTATGATTGAAATTAATAGGTGTAGCGTTTATATTTGTTATTTTGCTATTTTGACCAAAAAAAGTACTGCTCGTTATCTAAAAGCAGAAAAATGATGAATAATTAAGGAAATAAAAACAAAAGAAGATAAAATATTTCAAATTAAAATTTAAAACTTAAAAGAAATTTCAAAAACTTTTTAGAATTTAAAAAATTTAGAACTTAAAATTTCAAAATTTCAAAAATGAAATACTGTATATTATTTGTATAAAAGTTTTCTTCACAATATAAAATTATCATTATTATAACATATCATAAATATAAAAGCATTTCCTTTAAATATTTGTTTAATAATAAATAAAATGGATTGATAATTTTAAGCTTATAAAAAATTCATTAATTCAAAAAATTATTTTTGAAAAAAGAAGATTGTGATAAATTTTAATAATATTGAATATGTAAGATAATATAAAAGGGAATTACCCTTAAATTAAAATTATTTAATGGGAAACTTGAAACAATATCAAATATGTAAAAGATAAATAAATTATCTTTAAATTAAATGAAATTTAAAAGAAACATACCCTCACATAAAACTTTTATTAATAAATAAAGGTTTTTTTTAATTAATTTAAATAGTTTTTTTTTAATTAATAAATAAAGTTTTTTTAATTAATTTTTAAATTATCCATTCTTTAACAAGAAATAAAAAAGAATTTTCATTATTATTATAACGATTGTTGAAGTGGATAATTTTAGGATTGAGAAAAAATGATAAGAAAATATGACTTTTTTATTAGCATAACGATTTTTGAAATGGATAATTTTAGGATTGAGCAAAAATGATAACAAAATATGACCCTCACACATAGCCTTTTATTAGTAAATAAAAAAGAAATTTTCTTTTACTATCATAGCGATTTTTGAAATGGACAATTTCAGGATTGAGAAAAATAATAAGAAAATATGACCCTCACACATAACTTTTATGGATAAATATAAAAGAAATTTTCTTTCACTATCATAGCAAATTTTGAAATGGATAATTTTAGGATTGAGAAGAAATAATAAGAAAATAAGACTCTTTCATTATCATAACGATTGTTGAAATGGATAATTTTAGGATTGAGCAAAAATGATTAATTACGATAAGATTAATTTTAAAATTTCAATAGCTTTAAGAAAAAAAATTTCAAGAAAATATGACAGCAAAAACAAATCGTTTGCTAAAAATAATCGAAAGAATAAATGCATTAAATGTTGTGTTAAATAATAATTTTAGTTTTTTCAAAAAGAAAAATTTCTCCTCTTTTTTTACAACAAAAAATTTCACAAACAAAATAATTTATTGCAGTAATTTGTAAAAGAAGAAAAGTCCATTTCATCGTTTCAAAAATGTTACTTTTTTAGGATTACCATTTTAATCATTTCTAACTTTTTGTCAGTTTGTCCATTTCATCGTTTCAAAAATGTTACTTTTTAGGATTATCACACTAACTTTTTGTCTTTTTGCAACATTTTCAAATGAGAATATAATTCCACTGAGAAATGTGAAAAAATAATTTTTTTCAATTTCAATTCAGAAAGATTTATTTTGATCAAACAATAGTTTTCAACAATTTCGTGAAAGATTATTTAGTTTTCAATTTTTCAATAATTTTCAACAATTTCAATTCAGAAGGATTATTTTATGAAAACAATAAATTTTCAACAATTTTGTGAAAGATTAGTTAGTTTTCAACTTTCCGATAGTTTTCAACAATTTTGTGAAAGATTATTTAGTTTTCAACTTTCCGATAGTTTTCAACAATTTTGTGAAAGACTATCTAATTTTCAACTATTCAATAGCTTACAACAATTTCGGTTAAAATGATTATTTCATGATACATTAATCAATTAATGATATTTCATCGAATGAATTGGTCAAATATAGAAAGTTTTAGATGTTGTAAACTGGCAATAATCAAATTTATATAAAATTTAAATTAAATTTTTTTTTTGTTATTAATTAATTAACGATATTTTATCGAGTAAATTGACCAAATATAAAAAGTTTTGGATGTTGTAAACTAGAAATGATCAAATTTATATTCAAATTAAATTTTAATTTATTTATGGTTGTTAATTAATTAATGATGCTTCATGGAATGAATTGACCAAATATAGATTAATATTATTTTTTTAGTAAAGAGTATTTTACATTTAGAATTTGATGTATTTAAAGAAAAGAATAATGATTGTCAAATGATTCATTTTCTAGAAAACAAAACAAGAAATTATAATTTTAAATTAAATAAATAAGTATTGATATATTAATATTACTAATTTGTAGAGAGTATTACCTGAGAATTTAATGTATTTAAAGATAAGAAGTTCAAATATACCATATCTACTATATCTAATTAGCATTTATTAGCATTAAATATGATATCTATTATCATAAATATGATAAGTTTGGAATTAATTTGACTTCTAATGAGGAAAAATTGAAAATTATAATTTATAATGCATATTATAATTTATTTTTTATTGATTTAAATTTTACCAAAGAAAAAAACGACATATTTACCTTATCAATATCATCCTCCCATTTTGGTGTTTCAGGGAGTCGTTGTAGATCGGTTGATTTAACTGGTACTAAAGCAATTTCAGATGGTGATGGTGAAATGTTTAATGCTGATGTAGCTGTTTCTTCAATCTTCAAACGTTGTGGTTTTCGTGGTGCCGTAAAATGTTCACTAAGTGCACGAGCTGGTACATAGGAAAAGCATTTACTGGCTGGATCATATCTTCAAATAAATTAAAAATTATATTTTACTGTCGAAAAAAAAATCAATAACAAATTTTTTTATTTATTTTTATTGTTAATTCAATAACATATGATAAGCATTTCAATGATTTAATTTACTATAAGCCGTAAAAAAGATACTGTAGCAAAAGATTTTATTTAAAAACATAAACGTTTAAATCAAAACTTTCGCAATACTATATTATTATTATTAAAATTATATTTTACTGTAGAGATTCGAGATTACTACGATTACAACTTCAATGATTAAATTAAAAAAAGATATGATAAAAAAAGATATGGTGATTAAATTAAAAAAGATACGATAAAAAAGATATGGTGATTAAATTAAGAAAGATACGATAATACCATACTATAGCAAATATAATGCAAAAGATTTGACAATTTTCGCAATACTATTTTATTATATTATTAAAAATTATATTTTACTGTAGAGATTTGAGATTATTAACGATTACAACTTTGCTAAAAGATACGGTAATACCATACTGTAGCAAATATAATGCAAAAGATTTGACAGTTTCCCTCTACGATGATTAAATTTAGGAAATTAATAAAAATTAATATGAAACAAAGATTGCTTTAAAAAAGTTATGCAAAAATTAAAGTTTAAATTAAATTAAAATTTTAATTATAATGAAGAATTTGCTATTTTTTGTTTTACTTTACTTATTTTGGCTTACTTATTTCAATTTTCATAAAAATTTAATTTTTAAAAAAATTTTTCGCTTATATTTTGTAACTGATAATTCTTATCCTTACCACTGTTAACATTTTTTTATAGTATAAATTTATTCTCAATTTTTATCATTAATTAATTAATTTAAATTAAGCTAAATGATTTATTAATTAGAAATTATTTTAATAATTGCTAATTCTCTTCTTTACTACTTTTATTATAGTATAAATTTATTTTCATTCTTTATCATTAATTAATTAAATTAAATTAAGCTAAATGATTTATTGATTGAATAAAAATTATTTTAATAATTGCTATTTCACTTTTTTATCACTGTTCACATTTTATTACATTATAAATTTATTCTCAATCTTTATCACTAATTAATTACTTTAAATTAAGCTAAGTGATTTATTAATTAAATAAAAATTGGGTTATTTGATAAATAAAAATGATTAAATAGAACATTTATAGGAATTAATCAGCAGAATATTGGGAGAGGAGGTGGATAAATAAATAATGTCACCAGAAATAACAGATGACAGATTATATATGTGACTAACTATTAAATTCATTTCACTTCTATCAATCAATTAATTAAATAAGCAAAACAATAGATGTCAATTATAATTTAAATGGAAAAGAAAAATCGAAGGAATAGTATCAAATAATAATTAATATGAATTTAAATGTTTGATAATAGCAAGCAAACGTTTTATAATTTTGTATGATTTCAATTGTTTACCTTGAACTATTTTAACTATTTGGCTTAATCTTAATTTTAATTTTAATTAACTTCATTAACTTTGAGCTTAATTTTAACTGTCATAATTATATGATTTTAATTGTTTTATTTTAACTACTTTGGCTATTTTCTTTAATTTTTAACTTATAACATTAACTTTATTACCTTAAATTTAATTTTAACTTTTATAATTATATGATTTCAATTGTTTTGCTTTAATTACTTTGACTATTTGTTTTAACTTTAGCTAACTTTAATTTTAATTATAACTCTAACTTTAACTTTAATCAGTGCAGTTTAAGTTTACAATAGTTTACACTACGAAATATACGAGAGAATGGGGAAAAAACAGCGTTCATTCAATTATTGCTTACTTTTGTTAATTATTATAAGATAATGCAAACTTTTTATTATTTTTGATATCATACAAATGCATTGTCTTAATGCAAAAAAAGTTTTAATTATTAATTATAGTAAAATAATTAATAATTTTTCTTCTAAACAATAAAAAAATAGAAAAATTAAAATTTTTACAAAAAATTTTGAATGAAAAAAAGATTTTTATAAAATTTACCTATCTTTAGCGACTAGATCAGGTTCTATTGCACGTGGTGTTGCTGTACGTTCTTCAGTAATTGGACTTGCAACACGTACGCTTGGAATTGGTCGTACGGATGCTGGAAGTGCAGAATGCGCACGTGTTATTACTTGATCATTTCCTCTAAAACAAAAAAATTTTTAGGCATTTTCTATTCTTTTGTAAATTTTAGCAAAACTAATTAGATTACAAATATGTTCATGATAAAGTAAGTAAAAGTATTAAATTTCAAAGTAAGTATTAAAGTAAAGTGGTGAGTGTGAAACTTCAAGAAAAAGTATAAAGTAAGTAAAAGTATTAAATTTAAAAGTAAGTATTAAAGTAAAGTAAAGTAAAGCAGTGAGTGTGAAACTTCAAGAAAAAGTATAAAGTAAGTAAAAGTATTAAATTTCAAAGTAAGTATTAAAGTAAAGTAAAGTAAAGCAGTAAGTATTAAACTACAAAAAAAAAGTATAAAGCAAATATTATTTCAATTTCATTAAATTAATTAATTTTCAACTATTTCTAATAAGACTTTACTAAATCAATTTAATTTTCACTATTTGAATTAATTAAGCTATTGAATTAATTAGCTTTAATTAAGAGTTTATTGAGTTAATTAATTTATAATATTTCTTAATTAATTTTAAGATTTTTCATGTAATTGAAATTATTATTTTTGTTGTAAAAATTGCAACTGTCAATTTCTTTAAATTAAAATTTTTATTCAAAAAAAAAAAATGTAAAAGTGTGAAATAATTAATAATCTATTTTGTTATACAATTGAATGATACGACTATATTAATTAGTAGTATAATTAATACTGCCGATCAATGGTATAATTAATCAATTATATTAATTAGTGGTATAATTAATTTTCTGCCACAATAACAATAAATCTAACAATAAATAAATCTACAATAAATCTTAAACCTGCTACAATAAATCTTTCAATAATATATAATACAGTATTTTCTTACTAATTAAGAAAGAAAGAAAAACGGCAGGTAAAATTTACCTTGTTTGTTCGGAGTAATAATAATCAGTGGTAGCATTCATTTTTTCATCGAAATTAATACGCGGTTTTGGTGGTGGTAATGGTGGCATAGCACTTTTCTCCTGCAACAATTTCATAATTAATTTATTATAATTATAGAAAATTTTTTTTGCAAAATTATTTAATAATTAAGAAAGTAAAAGTTTATTAATTTCATTATTATAGTCAGAGAGAAATTTCTTAATTAAGTAAGTGACAAAGAAATATTAATTATTACTATTATTAAGTAATTAAGAAAGATGTTTCTTAATTACTTAATAATAGTAATAATGTTTAGAATTAGATGTTTAGAATTAACAAAGTTGTGTTTATTATTCAGTAATTAAATTATAATTAAGTAAGCAATGAAATTATTATTAAATAATTAAGTTATTAGTAAGTAAATAATTAAGAAAGCAAAGGTTTAGAACTAACAAAATTATATTTTTATAATTATTATTAAGTAAAGAATTAAGAAAGCAAAAGTTTATTAATTTAATTATTGTAGTCAGAGAAAAATTTCTTATCAAGTGATAAATAAATATTATTATTATTATCATTAAGTAATTAAGAAAATAGATGTTAAGAGCTAACAAAATTGTATTTTTTATTATTATTAAGTAAGTAATTAAATTATTATTAAGTAAGCAATGAAATTATAATTAAGTAATTATGCTACTATTAAGTAAATAATTAGGAAAGCAAAGGTTTAGAATTAACAAAATTATATTTTTATTGTTATTAAATAAGTAATTAAGAAAGTAAAGGTTTAGAATTAACGGAAAAAAATTGTAAAATTATATTGTGAAAATAATTTAATTAGGAAAATAATCATAGCTTTTATTGTTTAATTAAATATTATAATTAAAAAAAATATTTTTCATAATTTTTAAAAACAATAGATAATTTAGGCTCAGTAAAAAGAAAGAAAAAATATTGAAAAGAAAATATAAAAATTAAGAAAAGTGAAAAATAATAATAATACTAGAAAATATATTTTAAGAGAGAGCTAAAAATTATCATTATTCACATATATTATTATTTTATTATCTCATTTTATCAATTATCATTATCATTATCGCTATCGAATTCCATCACTTAGGAAATTATCATTATCGTTATCGAATTCCATCACTTAAGAAATTATCATTATCTTTAACGATAATTTAAAATTAAATAACAATTAAAACTTTTTATTTAAAAGCTTAACCAATCCATTAAAATAGTTCTTTTCATTGTTGGAAGCTATCTGCCTAATCAATTTCAAATTATCATATTATTATAGGCTTTTAATTACCATATTGTTATTATGGTGATTTCTTAAATGATGGAACACAATAATGATAATGATAATAGTAAGTGATAAAATGAGATAATAAAATAAGAGTATTAAAAGAATATATCAATTAATTTTTCTTTGTTTCTGTTATCTTCAAAAAATTAAAAACAAAAATTTAAATAAATAATAAAAATGTGAAATCTTTAAAATAAAATTTGAATTGAAAGTTTTTTTCTTCAAAACATTTCAATAATTATTTTTAATTAGCAATTAATATAAAATAATAAAATAAATTAAATAGCATAAATCGTATCATTTTGCTTATTCTTTTTCCTTTCTTGCATTAAAATAAAAACCAAAAAAAAGGAATTTAATAATTTAATTTTAAATTAAATCAGAAATTAATTTAAACTTAATAAGGAGGGAATGAAAATATTCTTTTCAAAGAAATAAAATAAAATAATTCAATAATTTAATTTTAAATTAAATCAGAAATTAATTTAAATCGAATATAGAGAGAATGAAAATATTTTTTTCAAAGAAATAAAATAAAATAAATGAAAAAAAAGGATGGGCCGTATTTTTTGATTCAATCAAAATTGATGGCTAAAATAAATCCTTGTTTCCAGTCTTCTAAATAATAGAAACGAATCATACTGAAGATTGATGAATTAATTTGCAAGCAGATGTTTTTATTGAATTTCGTTTCAGTCTCTTCCTCTTTCTCTCTCTCTCTCTCTCTCTCTCTCTCTTTCATCCATTTGAACAGCTAATCAAACTATTTAAGTATTGTTTTGTTAATTATTATTATAATTATAAAACAAAAGAAAGTTTGATTGAAATTCTTTTTTTTGAAATGTTTGATGATTCATTATATTATTAGCAATTATTGTTTGCAAGTAAATAAAAGTTTATCATATTTGCTAAGGAATAAATTAAATAAATAGCCTAGCCTTAAGGCTGGAAAAGAAAGAGAGAGAAAAAATGTCAGCCAACAAATAGTTGGCTAAAAAAAATCATCATAAATAATCATAATCATAAAACAAAATAGTCTATTCTATCGTGAATAAATTAAATAAATAGCCTAGCTATAAGGTTGAAAAAAAGAGAGAAAAAATGTTAGCAACAAATAGTTGGCTAAAAAAAATCATCATAAATAATCAGTAATTAAAGAATAAGTAAGTAATCAACTGTTAAATGAACGACTGGAATGAAAATAAAAGAATAAGTAAATAATTAATTGCTAAATAAATGACTAAAATAAAAGTAAAAGAATAAGTAATTAATTATTAAATGAATGACTGGAATAAAAGTAAAAGAATAAGTAAGTAATTAATTATTAAATAAATGATTGGAATAAAAATAAAAAGAATAAGTAAATAATTAATTGTTAAATAAATGACTAAAATAAAAGTAAAAGAATAAGTAATTAATTATTAAATGAATAACTGGAACAGAAGTAAAAGAATAAGTAAATAATTAATTATTAAATGAATAACTGAAACAAAAGTATATCTATTATTTCATTTTATTTTAACAAAATTTTTAAAATTGTAATAGAATAAAATGATGCTGTTGTTGTTGTTGTTTGGTTAGTATAATAAATAAGCATTTTAATTCAATCCATTCAATTCTTTAAAAATAAAATTAATAGCAACTGACTGATATGAATGGATTTGAATTTGTTAAATGTAACAATGATAAATGACTTAAATGAATGAATTTGGTGAATAATTTCTTATTACAAAATATTTTAATTACCATTACTTGTTAAATTGTTAAAACAAAAGAAAGATTAACAAATAATTTTAATTTAGTAAAATTTCATTCATTACATATTTTAATTTACAAATATTACCTTTTTTTTTGCATGGAAAAAAATATAGTTGAAATTAAAATTAAAGTGTTAATTTTTAAATTCTTTTTATATCATACGGTTATTACCAAGAGAATAACAATAATGATAATGATGATAATAATAATAATGATAAAGATAATGATGTGATAATGTTTTGATTATATATAGAATAACGATAATGATGATGATGATGATAATAATAAAGAAAATGATGTATTAAAAATTTCTCACTCATTTCATATTTTAATTTTTAATTAATACAATGATAAATTTTTAATTATTTAATGATTAATTTTTTAATGATTAAAAATTATTACACTATTACTTTTAGTATTATAACAAATATTGTTTGTTATTTTAAACCGTAAAAAAACTGAAAGTGTAAAATTTCCGGGAACAATTAGATTATCGTTTTTCTTTGCTAATAAAAGTTTAGTAAAGTTTAATGAAAGAAAAGAAAACGAATGCGGACATTCAAATAAATCATACATAATGTTAATAGGAAACTTAATTAACATATATATGAATCGAAAATAAATAATGAATTACCTATAATTACTTCTGATATATATATGAATTATTGTATATCAAAAATAATAATGTTAATAGGATATCTAACTGATATATATCAATCGAAAATGAACAATAAATTACCTAAAATTACTTCCGATATATATAATATATATATCGAAAAATAATAAAGATATATATTGTATATCGAAAATGATAATGTTAATTGGAAATTTAATTGATGTATATATATGAAACAAAAATGAATAATGAATTACCTAAATTACTTCTGATATGTATAAATTATTGTATATCGAAAATGATAATGTTAATGGGAAATTTAATTGATATATATATATATATATATCAATTTCGATATACAATAATTATTCATATATATATATATATATGAATAATATATATACGAATCGAAAATGAATAATGAATTACCTATAATTACTTCTGATATATATATATAAATTATTGTATATCAAAAATAATAATGTTGATAGGATATCTAACTGATATATATGAATCGAAAATGAATAATGAATTATCTAAAATTACTTCATTCCTACAATTCCTTCTTTATAAATGGAAACGATAAGAATATTTAAAATATTATAATTAATTTAATCAATTAAAAATTTCTCATTTATTTTCACAATTTTAGTAATAAAATTAAAGTTAAAAGAAAAAAATATTTATAGCAATTAAATTAATGAGAAATTTTCAATTTTACAAATTGATTAAAACAATAAAAATTAAAAATATATAATTTTAATTATAATGAAAACAAAAAAGGCAATAGCGACAGGTAAATAAAAGTTCGTTTGAAGAAGATTATATCAAATTTTTATCAAATAAAAATTTCTGTTTCTCTTTTTTTTTAAAATGTAATAAAAAATTTTATTATTATTCTTTTTTAGCCCTTTCCATCTATTCTTATCAAATCATTGGAATCATTATCAATTTCTATCCTTATTCATATCATTAGAATCATTATCAGTTTCCATTCTTATTCATATCATTGGAATCATTATCGGCTTCTATTCTTATATCATTAGAATCATTATCAATTTCTATTCTTATTCATATCATTGGAATCATAATCAGTTTCTATTCTTATTCATATCATTGGAATCATTATCAATTTCTATTCTTATTGAAATCATTGGAATCATTATCAATTTTCATTCTTATCAAATCATTGTAATCATTATCAATTTCTTCTTTCTTTTTAAATAGCATAAAAATTTAGTAAAATGAATAGAGAAAAAGAAACTAACTGATGAAGAAATACAACAAATCATCATTCTTTACATTCTTCAAATAATAATCATAATAATTATTACTATTATGAAAATTTACATTCTTCAAACAATAATCGTTGGCGAATAATTAAAATTTAGTGGAATTAAAAT